ATGTGGATGTAAACTTTAATTTTCAATTACTGGCTTTGTAAACTTAATAAAATTATGTACAAATCTTATTAAAATATTCTATTATTTATAGATAATACCTTCTTACATAAAATTAATGATAATATTACATTATTAAATATTACAGTGCATTTTTTATCTTCCAATTACATAATATATCTTTAGCTATGTAATACTGATATTATTTATAGTTTCAAAAGTCAATATCAAAGACTTTATTATATTAATCAAATTTAAAAATATAATAATATTATTACTTAAAGCCAGTCTCTTTTAATCATTTCTCAAATTAATATTCATAAAGCTATCAAATTTATTAGAATTATATAGAATCAAGTAATTACTGAGATAATAACATATATATAACAAAAAATAGATATCCTATCTAATAGTATCATAATTATTGAAACTGAAAAAAGTATTAATTTATTAATGAATACAGAATTAATTGAACTTGTTAATTAATTTTCTGTCAATACTCAAGATGTTAGAATGAAAATAGCAGAATTTATTAATTTGGAAGAGTCTATCTCTGTATATGATATATTGATAACTAAATCAATTATTACAATAATAGAAGGAGAAGAATTATCAGAGTCAGAGAACTTTCCAATAGCCAAATTTATTTCTCATAAATTAACTCTCAAGTATATTAATTTTTTACTTTTATATATTAGTTAAGATTATGATAATAAACTCGATATTAATATTACTTTCTTATCTAACTTAAGAAAGTTAAAGAGAATAATTGAGACTAAATATCAGAATATATTATAGCAAACTAGTATTCTTTCATTTATTATAATTAATAAAGTTTATATTATCAAATTATAAGCTGAAAATTTGTGCAAATATATATATAAATTTAGCTTAGTGCAAAATTTTATAAAATAAAATCTTGATAAGCTAAATAAATTATCTCTGCCCCTAATCTTTATCTTATCAAGTTTAACTTATATTTTTAAATCCAGTTTTAGTATATAAGATATAAGTTTATTTATTTTTTATTTCTTGGATAATAAGTATTCTAGAAACTTATAAGATTTAAATATTAATATTTTCATATAATTCTTTTTTGTAGATAAGAATTTTAAGTGAAATTTTTAATAAAAAAGAAATATTATTATTATTTTATTGGTTATTACTATTATTATTATTATTACTAAGAGTAATTGTAAGTTATTATTATTATTAAATAAAACTAGAAAGATTAAAATCAGATATTATAAATATGTATATAATATATAAAGAATAAGAAATTTATATATGACAGAATAATAGATATATATATATGTATATGTATATATATATGTATAATATTAGTTTATTCTATTATTATCAAAGTTATAATCTTTTTATTATATAATATAATATATCTAGAAAATTTACACAGAAGATTCAAGATATATGTCAAGATAATTAAAATAATATTTATACAAAAAACTAATTCAATAGTAAATGAGATTATTATATTAAAACTTAATTTTTATTATATTTTATTATTATTTATTATTAAAATTACAGAATAGAAATAGTATCTTTAAATAATAATTAATATTACATAAAATTAATAATAAATAAATAGAATTTAATAATATATAATACTTATTTAGTAGTATTTCCAGAAGATACTTATTAATAAATAAATAAATAAATAAATAATTATAATAAAAAATATAAATTAAGTAATATGCTAGCTATATTAATAAAACAAGAGAAGAAAGAAATTTTATTAAGAAACTTTTTATAACTAAAATAACTCAAATAAATCATGTAACTTTCTTGGCAAAATAAGATTATTTTTGTAATGCAGTATTACATGTGGCATAGTATGTGATATATTAATAATATGTGAGATAAAGTAAAATTTGTTATAATATATTAAGTCATGTAACTTTTTTGAAAAATAGTATAAATTGACTTTTTAGCCAAATGTAAAATTCTGTCTTCAAAAATGAGTACTGTATCTTAAGATAATTAATAACTTTAATTTTTTTATGCTTAATAATTTAAGAACTTATTACTTTGATTATATAAAATTAATTAAATATATTTGATTCTGTATTCTGTTTGATATCTTTTTGAAAATTAATTATTCTTTTGATTGAATTAAAATATTTTTGAAATTAATTATTTTTGAAAGATTAAATATTTTTTATTTTGTTTTATTATTTAGAAATATACCTATTTTTAAATATAAAATTATAATTATTTTATTATAGTTATATTAAGTTAATAATTCTGATGATTAAATTAAAATCATCTTATTTTGTTATCTCTTTATAATTTATGTTATATTTATTTTTTATAATATTAATATCTTTATTATTTTTTATATTATTTATCTTTTTGATTATATAATTTCATTAAAATCTTAGTAATATTTAAACTCTATAAATTATTAGTTTAGTTCTAATTTCTTGTTATATTTGTAATTTAATAATTAATTATATAATATTCTAATGGGTTTGATAAGTAAAATTTTGTCTTTCTAATATAATAATATATTAATATATTAAAATTTTTAAATAAAAGAAATTAGTTAAATTTGCTCAAATTGGTTTAACTGCTTATAAATTATGAATTAATTAAATGGAAAATTAAATATAATTCATTTAATGATTATATATAATAAAGTATGCCTGATAAGAAATCCCAACGAAAACAATCTCGAACGTTTATAAGCTCAAAAATTAAATCCGAGTTAACGGCATCCCGAACGATTGAAATCCCCGAAATCGTGATAATTTTGAGAGGTTATGCTTTCGGGATTTCGTGGATTCGGAATTTTGATCATTCGGGATACCGTTCTTTTGGAATTTCGTTCGTTCGGGATGCCGTGAATTCGGGATTTTGTCGGCTTATGAACGTTCGGGATGGTGTTTGGATTTTGAATGCTACCGATATAAGTATACTATATATTATATATAATCTCATGACATTTAGATAATAATTTTGAATTTGATGTCAATTGGTTAGTGATAATTTATTTAGTTCTGCTTACAATATCAGCTATTTAAAGTAAATTTGCTTATTAGTGAATAACCTAAGAGATAGTAATATATAACTATTATAATATTAATGAAATTATAATTATCTTCAATTCTGAAACTGAAATACGATGTAATTATAGAAAGAGTATAACTATATAAAAGTGTATAAAAATAATCAAACTGAGTATAAAGAAGAAGTTGATTGAAATTATAAAGTTTTGTAACATTCTAATTAAATATAGTCATCATATATATCTATACTTGTAATAATAAATTTGTGTAATGCTCAAAGCTGAATATTATATTTTTTGCACATATCGACTGCTTTCAGTTGACCTTTTAATGCTGCCAGTCTCAGATAGTATACTCCTTTTTCTATATTTTGAATTACCCCATATCCATTGTAATACATGTTTCCAACGTTATACATAGCAGTTGAATTTCCATTATCTGCAGATTTTTTGAAATATTCCACAGCTTTTATTACATTTTTTTCAACACCTTCTCCTTTCCACAGACAATGACCATAACGTAGTTGAGCCTCAGGTAAATCCATATCAGCTGTTTCTTTAAAATGCTGTGCAGCTTGCACTATTGCCTTTTGACATTGTTCGTCAGTTTTTTGATCTTTTAAGCAATTATAGTATAAATAATATCCGACCCAATATTTTGCAATGGAATTGCCTAAATCCGCATAGTTGCAAAATATTTTAAATGCTTTTTTACGATCACCATCCTTAGATTTATGAAAATCGATGGCATCTTGAACAGTATAAAAGGCATAGAATGGTCTTAGATTTGGCAACTGAAGAATATCGGGTTGCTGAGGAATAACTATTTCTTTTTTAGAAAGTTCAAAAAGTCCCTTAAATATATATGCAAGAGTTGGACGATTCGTAGGGTCAAAGCTTGTGGCTGATTAATAATTAAAGAAATAAACAGATTTTATTTATTAATATATTAATATTTTATGAAAAAGATCAAAATTACCTTTATCAACTATCTCTACCCATTCATTTGGAACCTTTAATGGCGAAGAAAATTGTTCTCGTCTATTTGCAAGAATCATCTGACGAATGCCTACAACGTCATTTTCAATATGCTCGAATGGGATTTTTTGTTCAGCTATTTCCCAAAGAAGTATGCCAAAGCTATAAAATACAATTACAATTAATAAATAAAAATTTCAGAAACTATTGTTAATGGTAGGTTGTGAAGTTTTTACCTAAATATTTCACACTTAAAATCATATGGATATTTCTTATCTTTAAGCTTCTCTGGCGCTATGTATCGAATCATATCAGCCCCTTCACGAATCTTTCTGGTAGCCTCTCCTAAACCACGACTTAAAGCGAAATTACCAATTTTTGCTGTATATTGAGAATGCGGCGGATTATCGTTTGTAATAAAAATATTTTGACTGCGAATATCGTGATGTAGAATTTCAGCACTTTTTAAATAAGTTAATCCTCTAGAGATATCTAAAGCGAATTGTATTTGTAAACTCCAATCTAATCTTTTATATCGATAAAAATTTCTCAAACTTGATCCGGTAATCCAATCGGTTACTAGAAAAATTTTATCTGAATCAAATATAACTCCATAATACCTAATTAAATTTTTTGCCTCCTTTAATTTTTTAAGGATTGTTACTTCTTTTTTAAGATTGTCTTTAGTCTCTTTGTCAATATCAACTTCTTTGAATGCGACTAAGACTTTCTCGCTTGTTACATGTTGTGACGTTTTCTTTCTCTTTACGCCAGTATAATGAAAGTCTCGACTTTTGAGAACTGCATCATCGAGTATTTCATCAAAAAGATCATTTTTCTCTTTCCTTTGAAAAGTCCTATTCAGAGTAACAACATTTCTTACGCCTTCTAAAATATTTTGTCCATCTGTGATACCACCTTCAATAGTTCTAATATACTAACGAGAATTTGCATAAATAAATTAATGATTTAATATGTAATTATTGATTTAGTAAAGAATTTATATTACTTCTTCCATATCTTTAGTATCCTCCGTGATAGCTTCTTTGTCCTCTTTGTTCTGATCCGCTTTCGGTCTCCCAAAATAGAGGCAACCTTTTGACGCATGGGTAAGTGCTTCTGTGGACTTCTCGAATTCTCCAATAAGATTATAAAATTTTTTATTCATCGAAAAGTCGGGGCTCCGATGTTTGTTGAAATATTTACTAACACCTTGCAACTGCGAAATATCTATGATAAAGTTTTGTATTCTCTCAACAACTTTAACGAATCTTTGAAAAATTGAATAGTTATTATTATTTTCAAAGAACCAACTATAATCATTTTTCAATTGACCTAAAGTTTTCACTTCGAATGCAGCGATATTAACCCGTTTAAGTAACACGCCGCAAACCCTTCTATTATGTTCAGCATGTGCGTAGCATTCTTCAACTTTATCCGCATATTTTTGAATATCTTTTAGCAAAGGTAAAAATATTGTAAAATCTATTCGTTTGAATGGTTCATGACCTTCTATTGGATTGTCGCGAGTACATGTATTTTTAATATCATCTGTAGGAAGTCCGTTACTACATGTGTTCATTATTACTATTGCTATATATATATATATATATATATATATAAGTCATAAATTTATTAGCGCAAAAGGAAAATAATATTAACGTTAACCAATTGCCATTTTATAAGTTACGTACAAACTGATCGACTGTGTAAGATATGGTTCTTCTTTACACTAAACTAACACAATATTTAAATCGGGTATTCCTTAACGGAGCACAGTATCTAAGATTATAAAAAGAAATTTAGCGAATTTAGAGTTTATCTGTTTAATGAAAATTTAACGTTAAAATGTATGCTATTAATGGGAGAAGGATTTACTATTTATATAATTCGAAGATTGCAAAGCGAAAAAACTGATAAAATTAATGTCAGCCTTGCGAATAAAGCAAAATTTGTCGATTGGCAATTTTTAAATCAATAATTTGCTTCAGAAAAGACAATTAAACATGAGGATAAATTTGGAAGTGCTAGTTTAATATAAATACTTGTGTCGACATTTTGATTTACACAAATTAGCGTCAGGCCGACATACAAATGTGAAATTGCGATAATGTAAATGTAAATAGTAATAGAGAAAATATTAATAACGATAATATTGATAATAATAATGTAAATACTCTGCGAATGTTAGCCACACAGCCAAGAACATTACAATACCGCTTGTCCTTCGCGTGGCATAATAACCTTAAAGCGGATATATTCATCACACGTGCCGACAGGCTCAATGGTGGCTAGTCGCATCTTAAATTTTCCATGAGAAGTGTTTCGGGTGATTTATGTTGTAACATAGAAAGGTGAACTCTAAAGCTCGCTAAAATTTTTGTATGTTAGTATGGTTTTCCTTATTGCATCGCGACACGTAGTAATACACGTAGTAATAATGATAATGTAAATAATTAAACGATGACGTAATACATGTATTAAAGAATCGGAAAAATTTTTAACCAATGTTTTAGATATTCGAATAATCAATTTAATACACATAATTATTTCAAACCATGACATGCTACATGTATTTCAAACGAGGAGAATGAATGGCAAATGTTATAGTCTCGCTGAAAAAACAATTGTATAAAAACCAAATATTAAAGTTTTTCTTCACAAAACACATCCTTGTTTAGTTATACATGTAATTATGATACAATATGCACTTGGAAAAGATTCTACAAAGTTATGTTCATGAAATTTAATTTAGAAAGAACGCGTTACATGTAATATCTTTGCGAAGTCGCTTCGAGGTTATGTAGATGATGGGCTAGCTCTACTCTTAATGATTTTTGGCACAACAATTATTTAAATTAAGAGAGGATAAAAGTAATCGCGTCAGGCAAACCATACATAACATTTCAGTTTTTAGGAACATCGCGTCAACTTACTGTTAATGAGTAGGTTGAACACATTTACTAATTGCTTTCGTTATGCATGCATTACATTTCTGCAGTTGAATAAGAACTTCAATTTAAGATCGCTGTTTCCATATACTCTAAATTTTTCAAAAATCTTAAAACTGAATGTTGTGTTTGCCCTAATTATGGTAAACTAAAATCTCATGCAGAAGATAAATTTCTAAACTACTTTAGTTAAAGTGTCTTTAATTGAATCATTTAAAACGAGCGCGGATAATTCTTTGAAATCATAAATGCGCCATGTAATCTATTTAACTCGTCAGCTATAAATGTAAAGTTTCCGCTAAATATAAAGTATCACAAAAATTACATTTATGAAGATGAATGTTAGCTTATACCTGAAATTGTTGACAATGTATATAAAAAAACGCGCCATTATATAGTCGCATCGGCACCTCTAGAATCTATTAAATAAAAAGAATTAACAACAATAATAATTCAGATTTCAGACTGAGAAACAAAACTTTCAACTTACCATAATGCCCGTATGAGCTACACATATTAAATTGGTCATGTTCATTATTTGGATATACCTTACATTTCTCATCTACGATCACATCTAAAATAAAAAATTAGATTAAATTAATTATTCATATAATTTATATTTAATTTTTATTTCTTACCAGATATGTGTCCATATAGCTGTCCAGATACATTTGGAGTTAATGCAAGATTTAGTTCAGTAGAATCGGTATAAACACACGTAACATCTATAAATTTATCATATGAATATATTAGAAATGAGAATAATATTCCAAGGCTGAATAATAATAATAATAATAATAATAATATATACAATACCTTGAGAATTTGCTGATATCGGACCGTTTTGAGCTTAGAAAAAATTTGTTAATCATTTTAAAAGAAAGTCATATATGAAAAGTTTATAAACCTACTTCGGTCTTTAGATACAAATCAATAAAATAATGTAGTTAGTTTAAGAGTTTCTTAAATAATAGTTGGAATATAGACTATTTCATCACCTGAATCAAGCGTTGGGAAAAATACACTGTGCGGCCGTTCATATCGTCGATGATTAGCGCTAGCAAATCTTTCTTTTCGTACGACTTCAGCTTCCCAAAATTCTTTTATATATTCACTCATGGATAACCAATTTCTAAAAGTTGTTATTAATTCTTTTGCTGTTGGACGAATACTAGGATCTTCATGCCAACATCTTTCCATCAACTGTTGGTAGCAATTAGGAGTTCCGTCGACCTTTTCGGGTCTTCTTCCAAAGCAAATGGCATATTGCAAATTTATATCGTGTTTTATATTGGCAAATGGCATATACCCGGAAGCAAATTCCCACATTATCATGCCAAAGCTGTAGATATCTGCCTTTGTTGTATATTCGTAACCACGAAGAACTTCCGGAGGTAAATAAGACATAATGCCGAATATGTTCCTTTCATTCGATGTTGTATCGGCTCTTTTAGATAGTCCCATATCCCCGATTGCTAGACAAATAATATCTTTTCGTAAAACAAGAATATTGCCAGAATGAAAGTCACCATGTACAATATTAGCTTTATGAATATTGGCGAGGCCATGGGCGATTTCTTCGAGGTATTCTATCCGCTGAGGCCAAGGTAAATTGCGAAGATTCTCGCTTATAAACTTTCTTATATCTCCTTCAGTGGCGAACTCCATGACTATCCTTTAAATTTTGATAGAGTCAAGTTAATTAATGACTATTAATGACAGTAGATAAAAATTTAACATTTACATGTAATCATCGCTGGTATCGTCTTTTGTGATGCCATAACTTTGTAAAATGCGCGGATGATCATGCCAGCCATAATTTGATATGGTCGTATTTCCGTAAAATTTGAAATAAGTACTTAACTAAGAAAAAGTTTATCTTGTTAAAATGTATTCAAGCTACTAAAGTGATCTATATAGAAGAACGTTGAGTTAGCCAGTTAAAATACCTCTGTAAAGAACTCTTTGCTGATATTTTTTGAGTTATATATTTTTTTTAGCGCTACTTTGGTTAAGCCATTTCTTTTATATCGTTGAGTCTCTCCGTCTTCTGTACGTCTTGGTCCGCATAGCCAGTCAGCCGAATATCTATTAAGAGATCATATCAATGTGACTGAAATCATAACTTGAGAGACTTTAATAAGCAATTGAAACTTACACAACCCCAAATCCACCTTTTGCCACCTGTTTTACATCGTTAAATTGGTCGTACGGGATCCATTCCAAATAATTACAATTTGTAGCGGCATTCAATTGTGTTTGTTGTATAAGTTCATCGATATTTTTATTGCCACTTGACCAATGAATAAATTTTTTCTTGAATAATTCCGATTCACATCTTTGACACCAATTTTTACTGACACGTTTCTGGTTACATGTCAGACATTCACCAAAATCATTGGCGAAGCTTAGCATTCTCTCCGACATCTTATTTTTTAAAGATTTTCGTAAAACGACAAGGATAAAGATTTACGTTTTTTGCTTTACAGGAGAATGAAAGTAAAAGTGGTCACGGCGACAATATAATAACGATAAAAATTGATTATACGTAGTTAATTGAGAAGCGATCTATATATAGTATTCGATCGTTAAAATTAGACAAAGAGAATTGTACATGAAAGCATTTAAAATGAATACAAAAACAGCGGTACCACCAATGCTCGGTAACTGTATATGTATAGAGGCGTTAGATTTCCACAAAGAAAAATGGATTGAAACTCCGATGATAAATCGGGTGATTTTTTCTAAATCGATATTAATATCGAAATGGTAGATTAATTCCAAATCGAGTGGTCCCGCGCGTTATTCAACAAATTTTGAAAAAACATGTAATTTGGGTTATAATATTACAATTGAATTTGCCGGGAAGTAGAAGCGTTGCTTATCTTTAATAAAGATGTTATGAATTGACTATGAATAATTATCCATATTCCGTGAAGCCTTTGAATATGGACGATAACTTTACAATTGATACGAGAAAAATGAAAAGAGGTCGCATTAAAGATACTCAATACTGCTATTAAAAAGATTTAAAAAAGAGAATGAGATTCTTAAACAGAAAGAACTTCCCGCTTTTTAGATTTACATTTAATGTCAACAACTCATTTCTCGTGACAGAATGGTGAGATACGATTTCGCTGTGGGTATTTGTACAGATTTAGGATTTCTCAATCGTTAAGATTACAATAGAAGCAGCAAAATATTTTATATGTGTGAGCTATAGTAAAATTTGAATTTAGAGTGAACCGAAATCACGTCCAACATCCGAAAGATGTCGGTGCCATTCGATATAAAGCAGTAACATCACCAGAAATAGAAATAAAGACAGTTATATTGTTTAGTAATCTTGACATATTATTTCGGAAAATTGTCGAAGAAATGAGACCTTATGATATTATGATAGATAACGTGAACCGTTACTTACGTCAAAGCTATTTACAAAAGATTACATTACAAGTTAAGCATAATGTATATTTTGAATTGGCAGATATATTTACAATGAAAATTTCGTTTAAATTTTCGAGTTTTTTTGATGCTGCAATCTTTACAATATTCAAAGTCAACATCTATGTATTATGATAATCTTTCTGAAACTGAGCTATTCAATCATATGTCACTATAGAGATTGAAATTAATTCTATTAGAATTTTTCTCTCTTGAAGACTAAAATAGAAAACAGGTTGATAATAAATCTATGTATATACAGTTAACCTCAACATAATTCATCAGTACCATAAGACAGAAATGTTTTAGAGAGAAATTACACTTATTGAAGATACACGTATAATAGTACATTTAGAGAAATTTGCATCATGATGTTGCATTATGCAGAGCTGATATCATATTCACGAATTGAAATCAATTACAAATAAGACAATTTAAACAAAATAAAAATTATAAACCAGTAACTACATCAAATAATTAACAATCAAGCAAGAAGCTAATAATTCTTGCTATTTCCGAAAATAATGTTGAGATCCTGATAATAATGACACAGAGAAACAATTTTATAATGCTTAGCAAAATATAATCATAGCAAGAAACAAAAAAAACTGAGATTTAATTGTCAAATAATATAAGTTAAGTTTTTGAAAATGATTTTTTTACTATTATAGTTAGAATAATATTAATATAAATAGTAACAGAGAAATACTTAAGGTCAAATATAAAAAAGAAAATAGTCAAAAAATGAAATTAAATACTTTAATATTCTGAAATCTCGATTTCAAAATTTTTATATAGGAAATTATATATTTTTAGAATATACGATATTATAAATATTAGTATCTGATAATTTTAAGTATTATATTATATTGATTCGATATATAATAATTAAACTATATTTCTAAATATGCTCATTATTAATTATTTTTATATCTAATATTTGAAGAATACAAAATTTATTTTATTATTATAAATTTAAATATTATATAATTATAAATAAAATAATCTATTATACTAATACAATATTAACTTATCAAAAAATATTATTTAATTTAATTAATTAATTAATAATATGTATTAATCTCATTAAAAATATTATTGACTTATTAAAATTATTTAAAATTTAAAAAATATAATATATGCTAGTGACAAAAAAACTTAATTTATTTATGCATGATTTAATAAAAATTATTCAAAAAATATAAAACTCTTATATATTTATTCATAAAAAATCCATTTAAATTATAATATTAATACTATTTTTTAATTAATTTTTATATTAAAAAATTATTTTGAAAAATGACTAGAAAAATTTTATTATATATTTTATATATTATTAAAATAATTTTTTTGTTAATAATTTGAAAAATGAATTTTTAAAGACTTTAGAACTTAAATTCAAATTTATAAGAAATATTACTAAGATTTTTATTAACTTATATTATTTTTTTAATCTTATATATTAAAATAATATTATATTTTTTATTATTCAAACAATAATTAAATTCAAAAAGTTTAGTTTAGTTTTTGGTCACTGACTTGATCCGGATTTGAACGTATTAAAAGCTTATGAAACGGTATTTAAAACAAAGAATTTTAATTTCGAGACTATGATTATGATGTGTATTATTTGTTAATAAAAATGAATTTAAACGAAGCAATTAAGTCAACATGACAAGATTAAAGAAACCCGATTACGTCTTGTCAATGAATTATTTACAGATAATATGTCCTTTATAGAATCAAGGTTATATTCTATAAGTTAAGAAATGTAATAAATTCAGTTGCATATAATATTGAAATGGAGCATTTAAATCAAAAATTCATATTTATTATAAAAAATTTGTCAATTTTTTTAAGTTTATACATATCATGCAAAATCTTTTTATATGCTATTATTTCCAACTTACATAAATTTACCTGTTTGCCTTTTTATAATGTTTTGAATACTTCAATATGTTTGAATTAATAATTATTTTATTTATTTTGAAATTAGACGAACCTAAACTATTAAAAGCAACTAATGATATCACAAACTTAAAAATGTTATTTATCGTATTTTCGCGAAATAATATCCATGTGCGTTATTTCGAGTCACGTCCCGCATTAAGCTTAATTCAGGCCAAAATTCGAAATTACACCACCGCGAATTATTTCGCGAAAATATGGTTAGGGTATTTTATAAGAAAATTATTGAGTTCACTTCGAAATCAGCACAGCGTATTTCAAAATTAATGGGACGCGTTTCAAAACAAACCAATCCATAAATAAATAGTACATGTATAAATACAATTTTTACTCCTTGCCGTTAAGGATCAACAATACACAACAAAATGTCAACAAACATTCGTATTCCAATCGACACCCTCTCCGAAATCTTTGGCGAATTGAAATCGGATAAACAGACACTTTTCGTTTGTCTACTCTTGAATCGCGAGTGTTTTCGAATCGTGGCACCAATATTGTGGCGTAACCCGCTCGATCTTTTATGGCGAAAATTCATTCCGTGGATTTCGTTGGAAACAAGTTTTGAGGAAATACGAACGGCTTTCGCTGATTTTCGCTTTGAAGAACAACTTTGGACTGAGGGAGTACCGCATAATCCTAAACTACAGATGATAGATGATACGAGATCATTGTTGTGGATGTATTTGTCTTGTCTAAGTCAAGAGGGAAAATTTCCTAAATCAGTTTATCTGAATAATACAACCTTTAACTATATTACGTTTTTGAATGAAATAAATATTCATAAATTATACGCTTGTATTTGTTTCGCTAATTGTGGCTGTATATCAAAATACACTTGCGTCACCTGTCATCGAAAAAGATGCGACGCTTTACTAGCCGGCATACTCGACCAGGCCTCGAACCCACAAGCAATCAACATTACTACGAAAAATTACCAATGGAAATCGCTCATTAATCCCTCATCACTATCCGATCGATTTCGTAATATACGTCAACTCTCGCTCAACGTTCCATATTGGTCAGAGAAAGAGAAACATCTCGGCGAGGCTTATGCTAAAGAAATCGTTACACTTATACGACATCAATCGAATCTCGAAACGTTCACGCTTAATCGGACTATATTTGGGTTGGAGGATATACTTACGGCTCTAGCGACATGTTCGAATTCCTTATTAAAAATTTCTTTCGTTACTTGTGACGTATCGAATTTCCATCTATTAGTCGCGAATTGGAACTTCTTGGAAAATCTTGAGGAATTGTCATTCATTGGTTGCTTTGGTTTCTGTGTGTATGATTTTCTGTTCTTGGATGAAAAAATGGACAACTTGTGGGGGCGTGAGTATACATATATTGGGAGATCAAAAATAAGGCAAACTCTATCAAATCCTATTTAAAATATTTTGTCATATTAATTTTAATTAATGTTATATAAGCTATAAAGTTATCAAATATTTATTATATAAAATTTTAGAAATACAAGACTTGCAATAAATTGTTTTCTTGGGTATTAGCTTATATAATAATACAAGGACGAAATATTATTATACAAGGTCTTTTTACAATTGGTCTTTGTTGTTGCGAGAGTGATAAAAGTAATTGAGTTGGATTAAAGACTATATGATCAATCTCGATAATGTGGACAGCAAGCAGTCAATGAAATCAAGCAGATTTATTAGCGTGATCTGATGACTGTATATTTTTCCACTTATAGTAAGCGCTATAATATGACAGTTGAGGACAATCCTCGTAGTACAAACCTTCCAAAATTGGAAAACCTGACTCAGTTCTGACTCAGTACCGATTCATCCAATA